GTCGAATCTCGATTATCTTGAGACTCTCTTGTTGGTTAGATACGCACGTAGGATAAAGTAGACGTTTATTACACGAGTGTCGTTTAAAGCGTTGCAAGCATCTTTTCTTTCTTTCTTTATTTATTTTTCTTTCTGCGTACGTCTCTTTTGTATATATATATTTATGTATAAGTGTATGTATTCCATGTGTGTATATACGCACGCGATTTAATTTGCACACAAAGTACGTACTTCGCGTTTTGCGTACGCTCACGATCGAGAGGATAAGAAAGTGTCATTCCAGAGAATGCCAGATAAGTTTTACGAGCACGAATATCTTTTCCTGTTAAATAAAGAATGTTTTTATAAATCAAGATTGTTGAGAAGAAGAAAAACAAAGAGAGAGAGAGAGAGAGAGAGAGAGAGAGAGAGAAATAACTCGAAGTTAAAAGAAAACTTTATTTATTTGTATACATTTTTTAATCATTTCTTACAAATTTTTTTTTTCTTTTTATACATTTTTTATAATCATTTCTTATACAAATTTTTCTTTTCTTTTTATTTAATCATTTTGATTATACAAAATCAGATCGAATATATCGTAAGTTTTTCATTGAATTTTAATTTTGTTTTCTTTTTTATTTTTTTTTTTTAGTGGAATTTGTAATCCCTTCCTTAGCTTGCGTGATATAAATATAAAGGATTTAGAAGTCAAGAGAAATATATTTAAGATGTTAGATATATACTTCGGATATAAATATTTCGTTATTTAGAAAGGGGCAGAGTTAAAAACACAACTGATTTAGTAACTCGTTAGGTTAATCCACGTGATGATAACGGTCGAGTATTTAGTCGTAAATTAGCAAGTAGCTTCTTACTCTCTCATTTATTCCTTGTACTATTCGTGCTAGTTCTCTTCGATCTTTTCTTCCTTTTCTTATTCTTATTCTTATTCTCCTTCACCTTTCCAGTCTTAAGAGGGACATTTTAATATCATTTCGCCACGCGATTAAACGGACCCATCGTCCATAAATCCTTTCTTCCTTTCTTAAGAGAAAACCAACAACAACAACAACAACTATAAAGATAACTGTCTCGTTTTAATCATGTAATTATCATCGATTCCAACTATTTATAATTAACAAAATTTCACAACACACAAAAATTGATTCTTATGAAAGAGAGAGAGAGAGAGAGAGAGAGAGAGAGAGAATTTATAATTAGGAATATTTTATTATTTAGAAATATTTTCGCAACGGGGATTTTTTTTTTTTTGGATATCGATTAGTTATTTGCTTTTTTTTTTTTCTCTCTCTCTCTCTCTCTCTCGAAAGAGATACATCCTTATGAATATTAACGAGCGGCGTGGGATTTCATAGCACACATAGAACCGCTCTTTAATCGGCCAATTCACTTTCTCTTCGTTTTAGCTAACTCAAGTTTTACGATCGTGAACGATGCGGACATTGAACGTTCGCGTGATTGGCGTTCTTTGAAATTTAGATACTAGGAAGAAGAGAGACGAATCATTAATTTTTCGTTATATTATATATGCTCGTCTTTGTGTGTAATGTGTGTGTGTGTGTGTGCTTTCTATCTTTGGATAATTAATGCCAAAAAAGAGAGGGAAGACGTATTATTATTAATGAGATAAAATTTACAATGTGGTCTCAAAGTAGTTTCCTTTAATTAATTATTCAACAATCGATTACTTTGATTTTTTTTTTTTTTTTTTTAGAATCCGAGAAGCCAAAAATTAACAACTGTTTCGAAATTAACATTCATTTAACGAGTAAATATTATTTTGATTCGTTCAGAATGGAGATTTATGGCTAAAAAAAAAATAAAAAATAATACGCACGTAAGAAGTTATATTTCTTTAGCGTACCAAAACGAACATAACCTCAATAACCTCAAAAATAACTACCATTATCTCCCGTACCAATATAATACTCTACATTTTTTAAAAAGACGATAATATGATAAAATAAAATAAATATATTAAATACCATTGATAAAGGTTTTAATTAATATGTACAATCTAAATTATTTATTTACGAATTACTTCATGCCGTAAATTTGAAATCGTTTTTCCCGCGCATCCGATAAATATCGACAACTTCGTGGTGTCGACTTTTCGGTCGCATCTACATTTCGTTTCTTTTATTGAAGTATAACTATAATATATTCTTTTTCTTTTCGATTTTCTTTTCCTCACATATGTTTTTGTTTGGGAAATATAATATTTGTTTGCAAGATAAACGCGAGTTGTTTGTTTGAAGAGTGTTATCACGACGACGCGATCGAGGAAGCCGAGCTTCTCGCGCATGAAATAGCAGAGGGCCGGTTAAATAAATTTAGAAACCAGGAAGCGACGAGACACTCCACTCCGAACACTTTCTTTCTTTTTTTCTTTCTTCCATTTATTTATTTATTTCTTTTATTTTGTTGTTTTCTTCTCTCTCTCTCTCTCTCTCACTCTCTCGAAATATCTTCCCCGTGCGTCAACTTGGCCAGCACCAATACACTTGCATCCATATATATATATATGCATAGGAAAGAATTCCCGCGTTTTGTATCGCGACAAGTTCGAGATATCGATATCCAGCGGTGCGATCTATCGAGAAATCGACATTACCTCCTCATAACTTCACGCTCGATCACATAATTCACTTGTTCGTGTGTGTGATTGCACGTGATAAATAAACTAGCAAATATATTAGCCCGATCTCTCTCTCTCTCTCTCTTTGTGTGGGGATTATTATTATTATTATTATTTTTAATATTAGAAATATAATATTTGTGATAACACGGTTTAATAGAAAAATATAATTATTAAGAAAAGTATATGAGATAAAATACGACTGTTTTCTATTTGTTGAAAATAAATTGTTTCTAAATCTTGTCCTTCGCCTTTTTTAAGAATTGTTCTTTTTGTTCTTTTTTCTTATTTTTTTTTTTTAAAATATTTTCTTCATTTCTCTTTTGACGAGAGTAAATCACGCGCGCGTTGATATCATCGAGAAACACGAGACGGTGACATTTTACAATTCACCTTTTGTTAAACGTAATCCAAGATCCAAGGTGTTTTGTTGTACCAAGCTTTTTCTCGCTCTTTACATTCTCTTCTCTTCTTCGACTTTTATATTTTTATATTTTTTTCTCTCTCTCTCTCTCTCTCTCTCTCGCTTTTATGATTTTTTTTTCCTCTCTTTCCATGACGCCTTCATTTTCCTTATTCCTCCTCCTCCACCTTCCCCTCCTACTCTTCCTCTTCCTCTACTTTCATTCTTCCACTCAACTCCTTCTCTTTTTCTTTTACCCTTTGTCATCGTCCCTTCCTTTTCTTTCCTTTCCTTTCCTGTCCTTTCCTTTCTTCCTCTCATTCATACACTCTATTCTTTTCTTTTTTTCGGTCTAGCCCTTTCGATCGAAGGAACTACGATAGGTATCATACTAATTTACTATCGTATATATAGGAACCCACGAATTGCCATTCATTCGTATTCGTGCATCCAAATTCTGAATTAAACTCTTTGAAGTTTCTTTTTTTTTTGTGTCAAAATCAAAAAAAAACAAACAAGAAGAAGAATATTCGATCTTGTTTAAAGACTTATCTTGTTAAGTGAGAAATGATGTCAATCAGAAAAAAGATATATCATTAAAATATTCGTTAAAGACTTTCGATATAAATACACAAACACACATACACACATATATACACGTTTATTAATACGTGTATACAATTTTCCGGTCTGAATAACGAGATTTGCATCGGATTGGATTTTGCATAACGAGTTGGGAACTCGATCGGTTACAAAACTTGGACTACGTGATATATATATGTGTGTGTGTGTATATATACATATATATATATTTTTCTTGATTTTTTTTTATATTACCGTTGTAATAGTTTGCACACTGTTGCTTTTAAATGACGTCCAAAAATGGTAGCTCATAATGAAATGAAAAATCACTTCACCCTTCTCTTCCCTCCCTCTCACCCTCCTCCTCTCCCCTTTTGTCAAAGGAAAGAATGATATCTCTCGTGTTGTACGAATGCATTTAATACACAATACGAATGATGGAGATTTATATGGACTAGTTTGGGAACCCCACCGACGAGATATTTGTACTACGATAATGCCAACTGTCTGTGTGACAGGCAAACCGATTCGAATTGCATTTGAAAATGGTTTTAGCTGTATCGTTTAACTTTATGTTAGGGTTGCTGCTCGTATTGCTGTTCTAACAAGGGATACATTTGTTCTGTTAACTTTTTATTACACGCGTGTTTTATGCGTACATAAACGATTTGACGTTTCTGAATAAAATTGACCAAAAAAATTTTCCTAACAATTAGTGAGATTTACACAATTAATTATTAATATTTTGCGAAACGTGATTTATGTTAATTTTGTTGAGAAAATAAAATAAACATTCGACCAATTCTCTCTGTTGTATTTTAATTTTATTATAATAAGTAAAAATAATATATATATTGGGAGTATGTATAGGGTGACTCAAAGTAATATTTATTGTTAAATAATATAGTATATACGTATACAAAGTATATGATTATTGTCTCGCAAATCGTTTAACTTATTTATAGTATTGTATAACATATTGAAAATCTCCATAGACCGTGACAAACGTTTGTTGGAGTAAATTTGAACGAGCGACAGAACAACAGATTGGAGAATATATTTCGATGGAGATCGATTTGAATTATATTTTGTTGGATAATAATGGGAGTTTGTGAGATATACTTGTAATTTGACATAATAGTTTGACGTAAAGCTTTGTTCTCGACGTTCGCGTATAAAACCTTTTGAAAAGTATTGATAAAAATGTGTTCGTTGAAATAATAATTCTATTTAAAAACTTACAACTATTGAATGAATACACGCGTCAACTAATTCGTATTTGAAAATATTATTCGTGGATGAAAAAAAAAAAAATAAATAAAAATAAAAGGAAAAAGCTTGTTTACTAACTCGAACGTGAATTTGTTCTTTCAGATCTTAATAATCATCGATCATGTCTGTACTACTGGAAGCCAGGCCTTACAGGCCCTTCAAATCTTCAGAGGAGTATTTGGTTGCGATGAAGGAAGACTTGGCTGAATGGTTGAATGCACTTTATCCGGAATTACGAATCAATGTTGACAATTTTATGGATCGCCTTGACACTGGCGTGGCCTTATGCAAAGTCAGTATCAATTAATACCTTTTTATTTCAATTAATTATAATCCAAGTATTAATAATTATCGTGATATCAAAATACAATTATAGGGGATTGACAATATACGAATTATTGAAGTATATTTTACTTCTGACAGTTGCTTGTGGAAATAAGAATATATATTATTTATTACAATTTTATTTATATAAGAATAATATTAGGATAAACCAACAAGTGCAATTAATTTATTTTTTTTTTAAAGTCGAATACAATTAAATACTTTCTATGCAAAAAGTGAAATATATTAATGTAAAAAATGCACGAATTTTTGTTTCACCCTAATATTATTTTGTATATATTATTTGATATAACGGGTGTCGCGATGCATTTGCCAAATGAATTTTATGTTTTTTGATACACGCGTGACAATTTAGATATTTTTAATATTGTATATAATATTTATAGTGTGTGTGTGTGTGTAGCTAAATAAAAGTTTGGCGAATAAAAAATGCGTTCCGTGCGTTCGTTGAACGATTAAATCTTTCGTCATTCACAAATACAACTAAAAGTAACGTCGTACAAAGAAAGAGAAGCGCATTAAAGTCGTCGTACGTGTTATATGCGCTACCGCGTTTTTTCCTTGCGTGCTCGCGTCAGTCGCGTTTAAAAGAGAGAGAAAGAGAGGAAGAGGAGGAGGAGGAGGAGGATGCGTGTGACGTCCAGCGGAAACTCTGAGCCCTACGTGGCCAGAATTAATATACGATTTAACCTCTAATGAACGTGGGTAACGAAGAAAAGCGAAAGAAAAGTCTTTCTCAACCGTTACAACACTGTTATTATTTTTTTTTTGTTCATTTCAACAACAACGATATTAATTATTTGATCGTAGTCGATAATCGTACTGTTAACGTAAACCCAACAATAAAAAATATATTAGAAAAATGACGAAAATGTAATTAGGGTTAACCAAAGGTACGCGTGTTTTTAAATAAATATTTCACTCTTTAACGTATAAAGTTATTTTATTCGATTTGAAGGAAATTGTGTTATCTGAAACAACGCGATAACTGTACCAACTTTTATTTCATCTTAATAATATGAAATTAATCGTAAAATAAATTTATTAATAATTTTCGATAAATATTTGTGAGTCTAGTAACATTTAATATTCAATATAATAGAATTTTCTTAGATACGAAATAAGAAATGTGTGTTTTTTAAATAAATATTTCACTCTCTAACGTATAAAGTTATTTTATTCGATTTGAAGAAAGTGCATTACCTGAAACAACGCGATAATTGTACAAACTTTTATTTCACCTTAATAATATGAAAAATAAATCGTAAAATAAATTTATTAATAATTTTCGATAAAATTATTTATGAGTCTAGTAACATTTAATATTCAATATAATAGATTTTTCTCTTGGAAACGAAATAAGATATACGTGTTTTTAAATGAATATTTCATTATAACATATAAAGTCATTTTATTCGATTTGAAGAAAATTGCATTATCTGAAACAACACGATAACTGCACAAACTTTTATTTCACCTTAATAATATGAAAAATAAATCGTAAAATAAATTTATTAATAATTATCGATAAAATTATTTATGAATATTTAATATAATAGAATTTTCTCTCTTGGATATGAAATAAGAAATGAAGTATAATATCTAATCGGATTAGTTAGTATGTTAGTACGTAAGGTATGTTAATATGAGCTAGGGTAAGAGAATAGAGTGATCTCGAGGGATCGAATCAAATCGAATAGAATCGATAGTCATCGTTTCTAAAGCACAGCGAGTGGTATTGAGTAGATCATTCGAACGGCAGCCAAGTTAGAGTTGACTTTCACTGATCTACGAGGGACATTTGAGACACTGGGTAGTCTATTCGGAACGTACGGGGCCTGAAACGAGCTCCATTCATCGGCATGAGAGACTCGACATATTCGTTGAACGCGTATGGCCCATAATGCCCACGGGTACTCGTTCGATCACGGGGCCCTATCCTATCCTCTATCCTAGTATGCATCTTATATACGTTTATTCTATGTATTCGTGTACACACGTGTGTGTATGTGTATGTGTGTATGTATATGTAATGGCAAATATCGAGAGAGTTGAGGTTCTGTTTGCAACTCGAACGGCTCGTTATTAGCAGCCACAGCAACCATGCACCACCACACCATCACCACCACCACCACCACCATTGCGTTCTTCTCGTCGTCGTTATAAATTCATGCCAGAGAAATATTTAGAGTAGGTAGAACGATAAAACTGGCGGCAGGCCCCCAGAGAAAGTTTATGTGGTTGATCGGTATGGTGGCTCATCGAGGGAGCAACATTCGCAACTCCGAGCTTTTACGCGTTTTCCTGTATTTATTCTATTTTTTTTTACATTTTTTTTGTTTTTTAATATTTTTCTATACCCTTTCCTAAAAGATCAATTTTGAAATTGAACGTTCGACCGTTGTTGTTATTTCGAACGATAACAAAATATAATTGTCGATCGTTTCAATATTGTTGATTCGTTTTTTATTTTTTTTTGCCCCCCTCCCCCATAAATCACGTGTAAAAATAATACTATCGATTTGTCGTGGTAGGTTTTTTTTCTTTCTTTCTTTAATAGTTAACGGGACAATGTTAGCAGTTATCGAAATTGATTATTACGAAGTAGAAAATAAAGAAAAAAAAAAAAAAAAAGAAGAAGAAGATGGTGGAATGGTTGATGTCTTTTCTTGTTTCAACTATGGGGTTGAAAAAAAAAAAAAAAAAGTATAGAAATACGCACCACCGTTAGACCTTATTTGCTTCGTACGCCAATAGTGATTTTCTTCGCTGAGATAAGACCGTATGGGGAATAAAATATGTATAAGTGTGTGTGTGTGTGTGTATATACACGCGTATGGATATTACAGAAGATAAAATCCGTTGGAATGTTGAATACGCAGGTACTACGAGGATGCAAAAGGTAGTAGGGGTGGAGTCTTCTTTGCATATGCGCCGACTTTACGAGCCGTAACCGGGAGGTGGTCTATGGGGTAAAGGGAGAGGAGAGTTAAGGGAAGAATAGTAATAAAGTATCACGCCAATGAACGATAAGAAGAGGACCCCCAATGCTCTCAATTTTATCTATTTCATTTTTCTTTTTTTTTTTCAAAAATTTCTTTGTCTTATGAAATGTGTCTGTCAGGCAAGACAGATTCGCCAAAAGTAAGACAAAAATACTTCCTATAACACGTTATCACTTATGTTTCAGAATTTTTATGAACAATTTCCATACGTCTCAGGTTATATAGAATATAGTTTGCTATTTATTTTCAAAATAATATCAAACGTAACTGTTCAGGTTTCATATTTGGTACTATTGATTTTTTTTAATTAAAAATTGTTGAATATATGTATATATATATATTATTTTTTTTAACAAGTTCATTAAAACTAATTTCCATTTCATTTCGTGTCAAGTTCTTCCATAGACCTCTGGAAATGTTATGGGATTTTTAGTGGTGTCAAGTATGCTCCACGAAATCGTTAAAAATAATCTCGTGACACGTACGGTTAACACGTGGAAAGTACTTCAAAGGAAACTTTTCAATTGTTATGGGATTTTGAGTGGTGTCAAGTGTGCTTAAACGAAATTGCTAAAAATAGTTCGTGAAATTTATCATTGCGTATATAAGATTTGTTCAAAAAGTTTCTATGATTTAATATACTTTCTAGTGTCAACAATGCAAACGTACGATAATGAAATGTTCTCTATATAAATAAATAAAAAAACAGAAATAATAAGTTCATTTAATATAAGATTATTTTAACAAGAGTAAAGAGAGAAATATAATGATCAAAGCTCATGTAGCTTTGAACGAAAATCAATTTAAAACTTGCTATGCAATCTTAATAGAACACACAAAAGATTCATTATTTATGTATACGTAAGAGTCGGTGGTGTCTAGATTCTAGAATTTAACACGCACACACTCGTATCTCGTTTTCTCGCTCTTATAGCATTAGAAAATAAGTCATTATAGAATTTAAACGAGATCAGAAATAACGACTCACCTAAATTTAAGTCACGTATAGTCGTTGTTCATTCGAACGCGGTTCGGTTTGTTCATTATTTTTATTCACTCGAGTTCCGACGTCTCGACATAAATTTTCATTGATTGGAAAATGGTTTTGAAATTCGTTTTTATATTAGAAACTGGTGGTGGTGTTAAGAAGTGAAGAGGAGGGGTAGGTGGGGGTGGAGGGGTTTGATTATGTTGACGTTGAAGAAAAAGATAGAAAAATATTTGAGTTATTCGTTCATCGTGATACAACGATATACGAACGAATACATTCAACACGTGTGTTTAAATATGTGTGTGTATGTGTGTGTTGGGATTTCCTGTCGAAAATGACAAATACCAGGCGCCTCGATGTTCACTCCTTATATGAGAATCGTTCTCGACGCTATCTTTTAAATGCATTGCCATCGGTTACGGTGGTAGTGATGGTGTTGTGTAGCGTTGTTTAGACAGAGTTGTGTCGTAGTAGTGGTAGTAAGTAATAGTAGTAGTAGTAGTAGTACCGTAACATTGATTCCTAAGGCGATTTCGAGCGGTCGAGCTTGCTTACATTTTCTCTATTTCTATTTTACTTGGTAAGTTTCAATGAGATTTCGCGAGATCTCTTAGGTGAGCTATGAGTGCATTGTGCAACCCTGATCGAAAGTTTTAAGATAATATACTAAATGTGGATCTTATATATATATATCTGTGTGTATAATAGAATACACCGTAATCGTTAAGATCGTTTTTCATTGATATCGCGAGAATATAATATATTTTAAATTGATAAATAACTTTCTAATGAAAATTATAAAAATAAATTGGATCGAAGATTTCAAATGAAGATAATTCATGATTGATCCTTTATGAAAGGATGAGAGTTAAGATAATAATATGGTAGATACATTAAATGATTGTTAATTAATTGTGTAGAAGCACGTAATATAAAAGTAAACTTTGTAAT